TGACATGGAAATGGTATCTGGGCTTCAGTGGGCTGAAATTGGAAAGYCCCGACGAGATGGCTGTATCTGTGTTCATCTTGAGCAACATTTACTGCTGATAACGCTCCTCTGAAGCTGGTTAACTCTTGCAGGTATCTAAAGCAACAAGGAGGCCATGTACCTGCAGTAGGTGCCCTGGAGAACTCCCCTAAGAAGTTTGAGCGAGGCAAATTATTCCAGTATAAAATGAGATTTCCTGTTCTCTTACATTTATATCCTGTTGGCAATCAACAATGCAACAATTGCCGGGGGTTTGGAAGAGGGAAAAGCAGAGAGGGAGCGTGTGAAACGAGGACACAGGACAGGCCACTGAGTGTCCTTGAGGCACGGAGAGACATCAAGAGAGGGCCCTGCTCATGCAGCAAGGAACCACATTTGGGGGCTGACACCTAAAACCTAATTCTGCAAAATAACCAACATTTCTAATTCTGGAGCTGTGTTTGGGTAACTACAAGTAACAKGCACATATTTAATATGCTGCCTAAAATATATCGACCTTCTCCACGTACTGCCATGTTGTTAGCAATGCACCAAGTCCACGTTTCTCTCTTCTTAACCAGCAACACCACACTCATTCCTCTTCAGCAGTGGTTAAGGAATCTGGTAATAAGGTTAAAATATATTCTAAATTTCCTTGCCCTTTTTCTTAAGCAAGAGCTCTCTAATTGGTATATTGTTTTTTCCCTTAGCTAATTCATGCCTAATAATTTTCATCAGAATTCAGATGAAAATGCTGTACAAAGGAAAAAAAAATGTGTTTTTCATCAAATGCACATTTAGAATGGTTTCAAAAGGGCTTTCCACATCTAAAAAATACCATGCAATTGGCAGAACATTGCAGGGATGGAAAAAAACTAGCATTTTGAATATTCATCTAATTTGGATAATGGCACTTAAGTTGAAAGCATTGCATTTCACACATAGAAAGCATGGTAGTACTTTTTTTCATTGATTGAAGAGTATTTATTTTGAATTTAGTGGTTTAACCACATGACTGTAAATAACTTGAATTTCTTGTGGTCTTTTTCAGTTAGTTCATTCTGTTTCTTAAGATCAGACCGAGGTTCCCATAGGCCCCAAAATTTTGTTTATTCTGCTTAAATGCAAGGTCTGTGCTCTGGAAAGTTAGAAGTTGTCGCCTGCAGTTTCTATTAGCATAGCATCATTTTACCAATGGTTTCTGTTTTAAGGCCTAGCTTTATACTAACCTTGTTTTTTAAAAAAAATCACTGTATTTATCGAACGTTTTGCTAGTAGAAAGTGTTGCAACGTAAGGAAGTTGTCGCGTTTGAATAGAAAGCACTTGCTGGATTTGCCACTTGTCTGCCTGGATCCCCGCTGCTTTCTACGCGGAGGAGAAATAAAGTTCCCRAGGAGGTTTCGTACTCGAGGCGACTCCACGGAGCCGGTCGTGGTCCCGGGAAGGGCCGGGGCTGCCCCACGGGGGTCCCATGGGGCGGTGGCGAGACGGGCACCATGAGCTCCGTTAGCTGCAAGGGTCGTGAAAAGCTTCGTTCCCCCGACGGCAGCGGAGCCGCGAGGGCGGGAAGAGGAACTGGGCATGGAAATTTGGGGCCCTTTGGCTTCGGGTAGCCAAGGAGGTGAGATCAGGTGCTGGGTGTCTTGCTGGAGCCTGGTGGGGAGGGGAAATGGGAATGGAAATCACCCCACGTGGCTCCGCTTGCCCAGGCCGGAGGTGCCCAGGGCTGCCCCGTGTCCGAGGAGGGAAGAGCTGGGAAAGCTGAGGAGCTGGAAGGAAGAAACGCGGTTCAGGCGAGTGAAGAGGTGTCAGAGCCTGACGGGCATGGGGGGAAATGTGTGTGGGGGGGTATTACATGAGGGGTGGGAAGGGCTTTTGCTGCCCTAACAAACTGCTGAAGAGCCAAAATGGTGCGGCTGTGTGACTGACACAGCTCCTGCAAGGGTCAGGAGGAGCCGCCGGTGCGAGCGGCGCGGCTGGGGCTCCGCCTTCTGTGATGGACCGGGTGTTTGAAAGCGGATCAAGGAAACGGCTCCCAGTAGCTTGAACGCATGAGAGAAAGTGAAGCTGAGTACAGAACCGTATGTATAATGTATAGATTGTGTGTGTGTGTGTGTGTGTGTGTGTGTGTGTGTGTGTGTGTGTGTGTGTGTGTGTGTGCGCGCTTTTCCTCTCTAATTTGGCTCCTACCTGAGCCTGGATTCCCGACGTGAGGAGAAGTGCTCGAGTTGCTCTGCACTGGGCTGCCCCGCTCCGTCTTTGCACTGGCCCTGGTGGCTCCTGTGCCGCAGGGAGCCAAACCCGGGGCAGAACTAAAGCAGGAGCAGGTTCCCGTGCAGGGTTTCCACCATCTGAGAGCAAAGGTGTCTAACAAGAGCAGAACCTGATTTCCTGATGGCAGATCCTCGCGGCTCTTGGGCTCGCTGGCCAGCGGTATGAACACCCCTGTGCATGAGGACCTGTGGCACAGGCGGYGTCCTCAGGGCTGTAAATGGCTTCTGGCTTTGAAGAAAGCTCCCATTCCACAGCAGAAGGTACCCRTGGCGCTGAATGGGGTAGTTGGCTCCAATCAGTTCCCTACTCATACACAGAGGGGGAAGAAAAAGGCTTTACAACTTCAGTGCTTTCTTTTCTTCCCCTGTGAAAGCCCCCTATGAACTAAAATACTAGGTACCTGTGATGTAATGGTAGTGGAATAGTCACTGTTTTTCAGTTAATTAATGCAAATCCTATAGGAATACTWCATATTCTTTGTACCAGATGAGCACACAGCAATCCAAGTAAAATAAATGTCACTGGAACAAGAAAAAAAAAAAATCAATCTAATAACACAGTCACACCACCTAATTTCCAATCCATATCATTCAGTTTTCAATATATAGATGGACACATACATTAGTCTATTTTCTTTTCCAGAAATGTAAATGTCGCTCTTGTCTACCTTAATTCAACCTTCTCTAGCGGATTATATGAATATAAGATGAATAAACATTTTCTAGGGCTGAAAGTTACCGTGTGCCGGAGTGAAGAGATGAAGTTGGCAGCTCCTGAGCAGCACGGCTGCTTTGTGGTCCCYACCAGCATAAGCTGCTACCTGCTTATTTGTAGGGCATACCCTGATATGGGTAATGTGCCCTTTTTTTTTCTTTTTTCCCCCTCAAAATTATGGTAAAGTCAGAGCAAATAATAGAATTTAAAGGGACACTAACGTTTCCCTTTAAATGAAGCTATAGGAAGAGGAGAATCCTGSAAGATCCCCAGCAGTCAAGCAAAGGCTCCGGAGGCAGCGCTGCTGTTACGGGGCTGTTGGCAAACCCTGGGAATCTCCAAGGGCAGACGCACGTGCTGGTTGTAGGTGGCGGCAGGGAATTAGGCTGCTCCCGGCTTTTGGGCAGGTAAGGAACAAACCCAACCCCAGGCCGGGCTGAGTGGGGAGGGTTGTGCCGAGCAGCAGCACAGGAGCAGGTTTCACCTTCACCGTGCAGCTAGGGAGACGTCTGTGCCCTGCATCGCTCCATCTGAGTGTAACGGGGGTGACAGAAGGAGGTTAGAGGGAAAGGGACCTTTACGGAAGCGAAGGGTTGGGAAGGGCCTTTGATTAGATGGACACGTGGCGGAGGCCGAGGAGGCGTTTGTGGGAGATGTCGCTTGGGCTGCAGAAAGGAGGTGCCTTAGGGAGAAGGGCACAGCAGTTTGTAATCCACTTAGCCATTTAAAAAGTCACCRTGAAAACCTTCACATGCAGGAGCCCCGTGCGTTGCCCCCCAACGCAATGCAGCCCCTCTCCAGTTTAACCCCCGAGCCTCTGTGTCTGCGGCTGCTCCGTCCAGAGGCCTGAGGCAAATCCCCAGCCCCTCACGGATCCGCTCCGCAACCTCCTTCCTTCCTTGGCTTGTCCCGAGTCACAGCGGGGTCCTGATTTCTTTCTTCGGAGGCCGAGTTTGCTGCGGGGCTGTAGGGAATCTGTCTGGGTTTGCCTGCTCAGAGGCTCCTGTGGTGGCACCGGCAAGTGCCCGCACTGCACCCCACGTTAACAGCAGCGTCTCGCTTGGAGCGCSCCGTCCTGCCCGGAGGTGACGGGAACACGGATGTGTAAGCGCATGGAGAGAAAGCTGGAGCTGGGCTGGTGCCCGTCTTGCTCAAGCGGCAGGCGGGATCCAGCAACGAGCGTGCGGCAGTTGCCAGCAGCAGCGGTGCTGCGGAAGCGCAGGCAGCGCCGCTCCCGCTCCCGCTCCCGCAGCCGCTCCGCGCTGCGGAGGGCACCCGGCAGCCGCCTGGAGCGCAGCGCCTGGCCGCCCCCCCACACGGGCCCATCTGCTCCGCCCGCGTCGCGCTCGGCAAGCCGCGGGAAGGAAAGATCTCCTTGGGAAGGGCGCAGCTATCGGAAACCCGACGCGTGACTGGACCTGATCAGACCTGCCTGGCCCCTTCCCTGCTCCAGGCCTGGCTTGGTCCTCGCTGCCTGCAGAGGTGCAGGGGAGATGCCAGCGCCGCGGAGCTGCTCCCCGGGTTGTGGGACCGGCTCCGCACGCGCCAGCACCGGCTGCCAGGGGCCTTAACACGTCACTACGCAGGCCTGACTAGGAAGAAGTGTCTTTTCTTGTCAGCACAGCTGACAACGACTTCAAGTCACCCTTCTTCTTCTAACAAGGAGTGACAGATGCTGGAAGCCACAACCCAAGTCTCCTACAAAAATGCTGCTTGGAGGCCTGCCATGATCTAGGCCTATCTAGGCCTGCGGGAGGGAGGGACTCRGCCCATTCGAACAACCTGGGGACGCTGCAGAGGTGGCGGCCTGAGTTACTTCTTACAACGGGGCTCGTCATTGCTGTGCATCTCTCTGTATTAAACCTGAGCACTGAAGGTGTTTTTTAAAGCTAATAAAACGTGYGGATCAGGTGACAATACGCTGCTATCAAAACAAGCACACCCTGTAAAAAACATGAAAGGCAATGTCTTGAATATAAAATACTTTATTCCCAAGGTAGCAGCACTGGATTAAAGATGCATTATAGTTACATCCAGGGAGCACCATCATGATTCAGGATGGCTTCAGGTATGGGGTGAAACCTGGCAGTTAGGTCACAGTTGATTTTCTGTACATGTTACCTTATCAAAATAAAATGAAAACAAATACTATATTTTTTTTCTGTCCAACCACTGTCGCTACCACCATTTCTCAAAGAAAACACAGTCGCTAGGAACACCAATGTTTGCTAGTAGTCTYGATACAGATTCGATCATTGGAGGGGGCCCACAGATATACCACAAGGTATCCTTAGATACGTGTTTTTTTAGATCCTCTTCAGATATTCTTCCCTCTAACAAAGAAATAAGAAGCAAGAACAGTAAGTATGAAGTAATTGCAGGCAGAATGACTGGTTAGTGTTACTTCAAACACTCATTTCTTAAAAACTGGTCAGACTTATAGAAGGGCTGGCATCGAGGCTTGCGAGCTCCAACACCACTTTCTTTCTGTGGTTACTCAGCTCCCTTGGATGAGTAGGGCCAGTGGGAATGCGGGGGCTATTAGTCATTTAACGGGAACACCGCTCACATCCAACCACAAATCCCGCAGTTAATGAAAGAAAGCAGCGAGTATGTCTTTAATCCAAGTACAACAAAAATGGAATCATGACAGAGTCTCTCTTACAGGCTGTCAGCTTGTTCCTCATCAATCCTGCTGTAAGCAATAGCTTAGCTAGACAGGAAGTATTAGTTTGTGGAACAAAATTCGCAGTGAAAATTACTCATAGGAAGTTCAGCTTTAACAGTACAAATCCAGTACACAGCACATTACTACACATCAGAAGTGGAAAAAGGGTGCCTTTCCCCATAGCATAATAGGTAGAATTAAATTTATCTTTTTATATAACGTTATTTGTGTGCTTGACTTGCGCTTGATTTGGAATCTTGAGAGGTAAAGCTAGTGAGTTCTGCACGCAGACGCAGGCCAGAGGTTAGCACGCCGAGCCCCATTCCCTGGCTCGCTGCGTTCCTTACCTGAGACGTGGGGCTGCAGCTCCCCGCAGACCCGCGAGCGCTGCTGAGTGACGTGGAAGCGGCACGTGATCCTTCCAGGGAAGGCATCCGCCAGGCCAAGAATGTCCTTCTGCAATGTTCAACACAGCTGCTTACAGCCCGGCCCGGTACGTGGCGGCACACGTGCACCAGCAGCCCCAGAACAGCCGCGTTCCCGCTGAGCACCGACAGTTTCGGTGCTGAGAGCTCGGTGGACTTGACTCAGAAGTGCCAACAGCCTGGAGTTCTGCACCCGGAGCCCAAGCACGCTGCACTGCCAGCTACGGCGCTGCTGCTTCTCTTTCTTTCTTCTGTCTTTCTTAAGTGCTTACAGTCTAACACATGGATCTGAGAATCAGTTATGTCCTTCTCTGGTTTCCTCCCCACATAAGCTGTCCCAGCTTCCTCTTCCTACTGGCCAATGGCTTTCCATTAAAAACAAAGCAAACCCCTCCAGTTATAATTTTCCCAGATTTTAGGGAAAGCTAGAGCTGCTGATCTGGCAAGATAGATAACTGAACCCTTTGCTCTTCTTCTCCAAGGCAAAACAGCTACAGTGAAGTGTCAACATTATCTGTGACCAGAGCAGAAACTCTGATTTTCAGTTCCTGATTCACAGCYGGCGGTTACTGCTCTCTTCATGCAGCTCCTACCAGAGCCTCAGGACCTTCACTTCAACCACATGAGGCTCTGTCAGTCCTGCTGCCACTGCAGAAGCTTCTCCCTCTACAAAGACAGACCCTCCCGTGTTTCAGTGGGTGCCCACTGCTCAGTCTGTCACTGGGCACCCCTACAAACAGCCTGGCCCCCTCCCTCCCAGATACATCCCTGTGTCTCCAGGATGTGGATTTATCTCACAGAACATAAGCCCCTRGTGATGCTGCTTCCCCAAGACCGGGCACAGAGGTAAAATATTTTTTCCACATGTGTTCTAGATAGGAGGAACCTGTGAAGAAAACCCAAGGCATCTTAAACACTGCAAAACACCCGTGTGCTGCCCRCCTCCTGGAGCTCTAACACACAGACTCTGCCGACGTGGGACTTGCAGGGAATGCCAGGCACCAGTTGTGCACATGTAGGACGGGAAGGGGGACTAGGAGCTGCCCAAATGCACGAGCTGGCRGTTCCAGTTCACTGTGCTGCCTTTCGTGACCAGCAACTGGCCTTTCAAGGAAAGGAAGTGTCTTCATCTCCAGCAATGTGGTAGAAATACACTGTAACCCAACCCCTCCTTGTCACTATATAGCTCCTGCAATCAAAACGAGTTTTGCCCTTCCAGTTTGGAAGAGTTTCCTCARCACCTGACAACCAAAAGGCTTCATTTTTCCAAGGAAACCGAAGTCATTAGGGATGTCTCTTTACAGMAGATGTGCTTGGTTTGGCCCAAATGTTATCAGGGACCTGGCTGGCTGCTGCTCCCTCACTGCTCTGCGCGTGTTAGTGCAGCCCTAGCACCCACAGCGTTACAAGAGCAGCTTACGCTRCTTTTATTCTCACACCTGCATGCTACAGCAATGTATCTATCAGCAAAGCTCCCCTATGATTTTAGAAGGTATTTCCTTTGGATACAATTGCTCTTGTTAGTCTTTAATACAATCTGAACGTACATAACGTGGTTACAGTATTACATAATACTGCATATACTACTATGCATATATGCATATTGCAGCATATAAAATCTCTAGAATACTGTGATATGCTTATGACAGTAAAATGTAGACATCTAGGGCAAACTGGCTTATCACTGAGGTCACTGAAAATCAGCTAAGGCCAGTATCCTCCTTTACTGGTATTCTGGGATAAGTAATTCAACAAAAGGCCGTCAGATCTGGCACAGGAGGCGACTTTTGCCTCTACTTGTGCAGTGCCTCACACAGGGGGGTCCTCCCTAGAATGGTACCTGCACCACAGATGAATAACAAGTTCTAATTTTGCTTTATTTACCTTAAATAAGAGTTCGTTTGTATTTTTTGCACTGTAGTAGAGCCTCACAGGTCCCACTTTGTATCCACCTCCTTTATGCTCCTGAGATCCGTGCAGATCYGCCACATGCAGCAGTATGGAGAACAGCGGGTTAATGCCAACACCCCCTGCCACCAGCACCACTTCCACAGGGGGGTCCCCAGGATGAGGATCAAAGAAGAAGTCGCCTCCCACTCGCAGAGCCACCTCGGAGCCAGGGACACACTAGGATGCAAAAGGAGGTGTTATCTGCAGAACTGAAAGCAAAGGTTCTTGCACCACCAAGTCACAAGACTAGCTGGGCATTAGAGCGTGATTTTTGATTTCCATTTTCCCAGTGAGATAAAACTGTAGTATTTTCTAAAATATACAATGTCCAGATTTCTGCAGTTAGCTGTTTCAGGATTCTTGGGGTCTAGCTTCAGGCTTAGGCTATGACAGAGGCAAGTGGGTGATGCCCCCACCTTGGCCCAGGAGAACCGAAAAAGAACCAATCCAGGCAGGAGTGTTTGACCACAGCACGTGGGTGTAAAGACCCAAGGGGAACACCTAAGATCACACTTGTACCCACACTCTGCTTCACGTCAAAAAAAGCATTTTTATGAAGTCAAAGAAGGAAGTCAGACTGAATTACACATACTTGGAAAATTTTTCCTATTCCCATTCCTAAAAAAAACACAGAAGTGAAGCTTCCGCAGGAAATTTCTTGTAGTCACTTTTCCCTTTGCTACATTAGAGTTGTGGCAGAAAAAAAAAAAATCAGAGAAAAACATTCTCTCTGCAYCCTCTACTTGTTGATGATTCTTAAAGAAACGTCTCAAAGTAAGTTTGTTGAAAAATAAAGCTATAATAAATAGAATACGCTGCGCAATGTCTCTGTGGTGCACAGGTACTGCTGGTACTCCACCTTGGCCACCTATATCTATGCAAGGGAAGAAAATKAAGTAACAAGGAAATCAGACAAGTGCTTCTGTATCACAGGACATTAACAGAACATACAGGAACAGAAAAGAGAATTCATTTCATGCTACAGAGAGTTTTTTAAAGAATAGGGAAGGTGGAAAGAAAGGGAAAGAAAGGCAAAAAATGCTGAAAAAAGAGCAGTTAATTACTTATTGCTAATACTTGAAATACAGCAAAACTCAGATCTTGGACTATTTACTATTATAAAATTATGTATTTTTAAGAGAATACTGCAGAAATTCTAAAATATGTTGCTTTACTATTTTACAAAAAAACAATCTCTCTCTTCTCCCCTTTAATAGTTTATAATTTTGCCTGACAGTGACTCCAAGTTTGTATTTGTAGAAAAGATCAGGAATGAGGGCAAGGTATGAGACAGAAGCGCAATGCGGGACAAGGACTGGAGTCAGCACTAAGCCCTGGAAGCAGGGAGACAAGGTAGAATGGTTTTTCAACCTTTTCCCAGGCATGAATTCCACAGGAACGAGAGCCCTTGCAGATGCTGACTGCAGTGTCACTGTGAGTCCTCAGACCATGAGCTGAGTCAGATGACAATAACCAAATTACCATGACAGTATCTTGTTTCAGGCTCTTAGAGGACACAACATTTATGTTCTATTAAAAATGACTGCGTRTATCAACAAGATTTTTTCAAGCCACAACAAAAGGAGGTCTGAAATTTAAAAAGGCAACTCTTGCCATCGATATTTAATGTCATTTACCTTTGTGTGAATCCAGTGAGCAGGAGGATGAGRAGCGTTCTTGACTGCTAGCTCTAATACCCCTTCTCGTTCCAACAGGCCAGGGCTTGAACATATTGAGAATCCTCCAACTACAGAAATTCCAGGAATAAAGAAATCAACCCTGAATATTGACCAGAAAGAAAAGTTAACGTAACGAACAAATATGGAAAACAAAACCAGCCACTTTGTTTGCAAGATATTTGGTTATTATTTCAATTATCTTTTCTTTGCAATGATCTCAGGCCACCTACAAAACACAAAGGGCTCCAGCTTGAGTAACATCATCTTATCTGAATTATCTTTATCTACAGTACATGTCATCCAATGAACACAAAAATCAGTGCTATTAAACTAGCAGTTTTTAAGCTGCTCAGCTTTTAGCATTAGATGTAATGTCTTAAGAGGAAAGARAATTGTATTTGATTAGAAAACACAYAGCATATTGGAAAAACATTATAAAAAACACCATACAGTCCAAMAAAATGGTTTAGATACTACACCTTTCAGTGCTTTTATTCCTCCTTTTGATTATTACAAGAGAAACTGATTTTAGAGAAACTGCTCTTGCTTGCACCCTTTTTTTCCTTGAGCAGACAGAATATGTGAAGGTAAACCACAGTGTGTAATACATTTTCTTACAAGAAAAGTCAGGGACTACAGTAAGCAGAATCGCTTTACATATTGAACTACATTGCCCTCTCGTGGCAAACGTGCTTTTCTAGTAAAAATTGGACTGCAGTACATTACTACTTTTTTTTCAGTGAAGTAAAACCAGGCATGACCTGCGACAGACTTGGTGGGTAAAATATAGCCAACTGTCTGCAGTTAGGGTGTAGGGAAGACAAGCCATTACTATGTGTGGACAGGAATTCACTTTTATGAAGTTTTGATATTCCAAACAGTATCAGAAAAAAAGTCAGAAATTAGTTTATGATCTAACATTTGAACCCTTGTACAACTCAACCCTTTAAAGATGCCCACATTTGAAAAAGAAAGAAAAGAAACAGAACACCTAACACATAAAGCCAGTGAGGGCTCAAAGGTAGCAGCCTGCAAACAGAAGGTCAGCCCCCAGACAGAGCCAAGGCGGCTGCTGACAGGAAAACCTCTCACTTGGGTCGCTCCCGTCCTCAGCTTCGGCAGCCCCACCGAGCCCCGGGCTCTGCCTCTCTGGCAGGAAGCATCTAAGAGATTTTCCAGTAGGATTCCCACTCCCGTGTGGCAGCAYTTAGTGGATGAAAGAGCACCTCCAGAAGCTACCAAAGCTCTTTACCACCCTCTGCTGGAAAATTATCTTAGGATTTTGACTACTGGGAAAAAAAAAAAAATCACGGAATTCTATTTATGTTGTAAATTGACAACCTGGAATCAAGTTAAAATGTTCTTGAAATTTAAGGGAGATATTATTTGGGTCAGGGAAATGCATATACACAAATATTGATGTAAAACATAATTTTACCTCAATGTAATTTACTTTTTACCTTCTAAAATGCTACTGGAGGCATATGTTTCTGTGTAAGCATTTCTTTCCCAATTACACAGATATAAGAGATTTCAGTGCTCTGAAGTATACTTTACTGTATATTATAACACAGTGGCCTAGCATGCATTTCCAATGGCTTATCTAATTTTACCTATGTGCAGCAAGAAATCTAAAAATTCTATTAATAACAGTATAAGTGAAAAGAATAGTTCTAGGGGGCAAAAACAACTCATAAGTGATGGCAAAACAACAAAAAGAGAGAGAAAAAGATGTGAAACAGAGAACAGCTCAGTGKTTTTTTTTCTCATTTCTTTCATTTTAAAAGCTACCGGAGCCAAAAACATGAGGAGATAAAGTCATTAGTAACTGCTAGAGGAAGCAATCTCATAAACACAAAAAAATTAATGTCATTCATTTTGAATTTAAGTTAGATAAAGACCAAAACCTACTAGCATGCTTGCAAAACAAATGCACTTCTGCTTATGAAAAACTGCATAATTAAAATGTTTTAAATTCACTGTAGTTATAAACTTTGGCTGTAATCTCTTACTACAGCAAATTCTCACAAGTTGGCCTCTTCTAGTGAGGAAATTGTAGCCCCATTTTTCTTACTGCTCATCAAAAAATGTGACCACAGTTTATGGCTGTAAGTATAGAAAAGTTGTAGTACGCCTTACAATAGCATTACAACACTTTCAAAGCAGAAGAAAATGAAAAAGTAATTATAATTAAAGCTCTCAGCGTGATAATTGCTAAAGCATTTTTGAAGGATAAATGCATTTTCCAAGTTCTGGCAAGCAAAAATTTAATATGAGTCACTGCACATGTGCAAAAACTGCATCAAATTACTTCACAAACACAAATTAGTGCAATCAGCATCTTGTCTGCTGGTTCTAAATTTAAAAGCCAGGATATTAACACTACATGAGTAACATACGCTGTTAATACCCTAGCAACTATACTTTGATTCCAGGAAAAGCACTCTCAGCTGGCCAAATCAAAAAGAAATAACGTTTAAGAACATCTAGATGACCAAATGTGCCAAAAGCAACTAGTCAGAATTCTAAATTAATCTTTAAGAGAAGGAAAAAAAGCGACGGAGGTCCAGTATTTTCAATAAAGAAAGAAGATAAACAAGAAAAACCACTACAAGCCTGAAAAAAAAAAACAAGCCAACACAGCCCAGTGTAACACTTGTTTAAGTATGTAGGTAACTATTTCAAAAAAATCAAATTAGTTTGTTTTTAATTAGTTTGATATATCTGTATATATATTAAACTGACCTATTAGGTCTAATTTTCAGGTAAGGAAGTTTCAGAAAATAAATACAGGATATTGGACAATTCTGGCTTAATAACAGAATTGTAATACCAAAAAATAACTCGCCAATGAGCAACATTCAGCCTCYGCTTTACCATAAAAATGACCAGCAAATAAAGACTGTAACAATGACTTGCAGAATAAAGTGCAGTGTGCTACTCTTGCAGAAATATCGTAACATTCATAAATTAGAGCAAAATACTGAAAAAAAATTCAAAGAATATCCATTTTTGCCCTCTTAAAATGAATGTTAGCATATTCAACAACAGCCATTTTAAAACTATGACAAATATATACCATTTGACAGGGCACTAATAAAAAAAATATAACAAAATCATAAATCTTTCAGCATTTTATTACATTTGGCCTCTGCTCGAAATTCTCCCTCAAACATGAGGGGCTCTTACCATTGTCCTGCTTTGAAAGTAAAATCTTTATTTACGATAGCCAAGCGAAGCCTTTTCACTGTCTCTGATTCACTGGTAATTCCACACACTTTTGCTTGTGAAATCATCTAACAAAAAGAAAATAAGTCACTGTTAAGAAAACTCCTAAAAGGAGACCAGCAGTTACTGAAGTCATTGGGGGAATTCTGGATCTCTTTCTGTTCTTGTTTAAGTAATTAAATGCACTACCAACCTGGAGACACCCCACAAAGCTTATAGCAGTGCTTTTACCTGCACCTACCCATTCACACCTACAGATATTTGACCACATATATGAATTAGCACAGGGAAATTGTGACACTGGCATTCATTTCTAGTTACTCGCAACACTTTTGTTTGAAAAAGATGGGACTAGATATAAAAATATATAGTTRTTTTATCTCATACAATCTATAAAGTAGAAAGAAAAACAAGTTAGGAAAGATGATGATTTTCTAAAGGAAAAGCAACTTAGTAGCCGGATGGACCACTGGGGAGTTGCTCCTCGCTTACATTCCTCAATGYCAGTCAGCAGAACACGGATCATCCAACCCTCTCTGCCTCTCTCCTTCTGCTGCTTTTGCGTTATGATTAGTATCTATTTTCTTCTAAAAAGACAGTAATCTCCTAAATAGCTATCTACAGGAGTTAATTTAATTACTCTGTTAGAAGATGCTAATGACATGCAGCACRTTAGGAAAGGCTAGAACAGCACCATAACTCCTATTTCCCATCCGTGTAAGATCAAACAGTTCAGGCAATGAAACCTTGACCAACTATGCTCTAAGTGAAAACACATGACAGGAAATTAATTTCTTCGTAAAGCAATATTTGAACATATCTACTGTCCCATAAAACAGTAGGACATTTGCCAGTTTTAAGAAGCATCCTTTTCCACTTTAGCAGACGGAATGAAATGGGCAGTGCAATCTTTCTGGGTTAACAAGACAAGTAACAGACACATGACTTGTATCATTATTTTGATGTAGAAACCTTACAGGCATGAAATTAAGCCTTGACCTATTTAGGTCAAGTGTAGTAGTATGATTTCATTATCTACCATACTCCATAGCTCACCCGACTTCTATTAAATTTCTCATGAAACAAACAGAATGACGTAAGTCACAGACAATTTTTATATCTCATTAAATTTCACCAGTGATCTCAAAACACACTTGTTTTACAACATTACCAAATATGAAAAATGAGGGGGAAGAAGCAACAAAAACTCCTGTAGAAGAAACAATGAAGCCTATCAATCAGATGCATCCAGTTTCTGCACAACGTAAAATAAAACAGCTATATCCTATAGAACWGGACACTAACCTCCTGGCGAAAATTATTTGCTGTTCTCTCTAGATGATCCATTTTTCTTTTTGATTTTGTGGTGCTACAACAGAAAGCAAATAAAAGATAATTGTCATTTTGGCATGTGTGCTAGGGCCCCTTAATGATATAAATCTCTATTAACATAATCATTTGCCTATATTCTATGTGACAAAAGACTACATAAGAATATAAAAAAACAGGAATTAATCAAGTATTTACAGATAATATAATAACTTTATAGCTTTACTTTGACAGTGCTATTATGACATTCTCTTTTAAAAGAAAAAAAAAAGCCGTGTTTGTAGTTGGAAAACCTACCCATTCACTGTGCAGTAACAAAAAGCAGAGTGCCTCAAGACCACCAATGCTGAATGAGTGGGAAAAATTCTACTAGTACCTCTCAGTAACTGAGGAATAGTAAAACCCACAGAAATAGCAGCACWGGCCATGATGAATAGGCTTCCGTCAGAAATAGCAGCTCCTGAAAAACAAACAAACAAACAAACATATAAGTATTTATTAAAGAATATACCCATTGTCTGATACTGCTTGTTTTCACCCCTTATTCCCCAGAAACCAGACAAGTCAAAGTTCATCTGGAACTAAAAACAGTGGAAAACATGTAGGGTATCAAGAAGGAATTTTACAAAGAGACAATAGCATAAAGCAGTCAATGGAAAATGTGTGTCTGCTGTTCGAAGGGCAATAAATCTAGTCCCAGATAATACGTAGAAAGTTACAGAATGCGACGGTTCYTGCCCAGACTTCACAAGCCAAGTCTGCTTACAGAGCCCTGCCTGTACAGCCAGTGTTTGGGAAGGTGCAGGACAGCCAAGGGCAGGGCAGCAACAGCTCAGGGGCTGCTTTGTGAGGCTGGATGCACGCAAATGTATCAAACCAGATGGGGYCCACTCAACCTTTTACTGCTAAGGGCACTAAAACAGAGCTAAAAAATTTTTAAGGGTGTTGTCTGACATCTACGAAAAGAGTATGTCATCTATAAAGAAGGATCCTAGTTGGAAAATTTTGTAAGCAATAAATAAAACTTTTTTTTTAAAGGCTGGTTTAAGAACACACGTATCTCATTATGGATATAGAGGAGTTAGAAGATAATGACAAACACAGACAACAATACAGCAAACAACAGAACCTAGATTGTAATTACTATCTGCAAACAGTTAAGCAAGAAGTGGACATACGGTGCATGCACAAGAATGGACGTATGGGGCGAAGCTTCAAAATCACACACCAGAATGAAGCCAGGACAGAGCAAGGCAGGTTGACCACATACAGTATCAAAAAAAAGTTGGAGATGTCCTTTACTTATTCAGAAACGGGTTCATAGGTCACTCTCACTGCTTATAAAGCTGCTTTTGTTTTTCTAAGATGGATGAGCATAACTCTCTAACCTATTATCCTCACCTATTGAATTAGTGTATCATTGCTGGGACGCAGTCCTTGTTTCTTTAAAGTACTCTTAATCTTTCACTTCCATATAAACGTCTTTTGCAGCATTCTTTTAAAGCATATAATTTATTTTCAAAATGTTTTGTTTTTCTTCTGGAATCYTTTAAAATGGCAATGGTCCAGCTTGTTCAAATAATCGGGCCTACACTCTCTAAACGCTTCTGCTAACAGCTGCATTGCCTGGTCACTGGGAAATTTGTCCTCTGTGCAATCCTGCACAAATGAGAGGCAGAGCTTTTATTCATTAGGGTGCTCAGAAATGAGACACATTTGTTGTAACTACTTAAAATTCCCACTTTGATACCTAGGAAATATTTCCTGTATGTTTTAACTAACCAGAACTTGAAATATCTTTTTAGCATGTAGCTCCACAGCAACTTAGAAGTTTTCTATGTGGAATTTATATGTATGTGCGTATGTTCATGTGTGTGTGTGTGTACATATATATATGTGTGTGCATGTGTGTGTGTATGTGTGTGTGTATGTGTGTGTATATATATATATATATATATATATATATATATATAAATCTTCAGCCAGCAGCAGGAAAAATTACTTGAAAAAGTTTTTGCTGCGGGACATACAGAATATTCTGTTTCAACAAAATACTTCAGTACTTTCTACATGCAAATGTTTAGAAGCTACTGTTCAGGAGCACAAGCATTAATATTTAAAAGCTATTTTAGCAGGACAAAGGGCATGTCTAATGAAGTCACACCCCACCACATCAGCATGCAAACCCTCTGGGTTACTCAAATTCATAAGATTAATTTATAACTTGGAGTCTTCTAGATATTACTTTTATATCTATCTACCTCTTATTTTTTAGTCTTAYGGGAAAGGGGGTGAGGGGGAAGGAGTGGATTCAAATTTTCAAGCTTTTTAATCACTTTAGTCAAAAGTAAAAAGGCAGGAATATTGAAAGTGGACATTCCTATATAAGCTACTTATTCCAACAGCTGTAACTTTTATTAAACCATCACATTCTCAAAATTAGCAGGTAATGTCAGGAGAATTCGCTATGCTAGTTTTAGAAAATCCAGGGATGATAATACAGAATTAATGATATAACCTTTTTCAATGCTCTGTTTTTTCTTTTAATTATCAYATCCTGACATCACATCCTTCAAAACCCCTCCTATAATTAATTATTACTAAACATAGCGACATCTGCTGGTAAAATAAATGATCTAGCTTTAAAATCTACTAAAGATTCCAGAATGTTTTTTTCACTTTCTTGGTTTAACCTAATCATATAGCTGGATATGACTGGCAGCCGCTGAAAGCTGGCCACATTTTCAACTGCTACTGCTTTAGGAAACAATTATTTCCAGAGCTACACATGAAAATGTAAAGAAAAAGAGAAAAAAAAAAAAAAAGAGTTCAAAGAAATGTCAGCTTTAATCACAGCAGTTGCAATTTTAAAGGCTGAAAGATCCTTTTCCTACAGAGTATTTTAAGACTGAGATTCTAATTTTAATTAAAAATAAGTCTTGAACAGTAGTCTGTCCTCCAAAGGACACCTGTTKGATTTATCCTGTCATCCATCACTTTGAACTCCTGAAAAATCACAATAAACCCAGTTTCAGTTTTCTCTCTSCAATTAATACATTCCCAAATCTCTTACTGGGTCCTGCTCTGGGCTACCACATACATGTTGGCGAGTCATGCCTCTACATGACGTGAACACTCTCCCCATGTGTCACCTCAGCAACTTTCTTGGCTCATCCAGCTCCTAAGACCTCCATCTGCAGGGATGTTCTTGCTTTTTAATTGTATTTAATCGTATTGGCACTGCRTGTGACCCCTTCCCCTCTTCGCATAAAGCTAAAGCCAAGTAAATCATTTCCTCCTTACCCYCAGATCCACTAGCCCTGGTTAAAAATCAGCCTGCGCATCTTTTSCTTTTCACCTCGCCACGCTGAGCCTGAAGGGACACGGTCACTTTTAGTCTCCTGCAAAACAACCAAGGGCAAACTGCTAGCTAGAGTTAACCCAAGAGCTTGGAAAGAGTCTAAACAGCAAAGATAAATAGCAAGTGGGTATGGGGAGGTAAAACCAACAGCCCTTCGCTCGGGCTGGGGCTGTCAAGCAGCGGGCAGGGGAAGGCGGGCGGCGAGACGGGATCCACCCGCCGCCTCGGTGGGGGAAAGGGCACGGGGGCGGCGGCGGCGCCCTCGGGTCCCCCGCGCCGCCCCCCGGCCGTGCCGGGAAGCGGGGGAGCCTCCGCCGAGGCGCGGGCACTGCCGGTGCGACCGTTAAACCGCCACCCCTCCCCGCCAACCGCCCCCGCGCCCGCGCGCGCCCCGCGCCGCAGCCCCTACCGGCCGCGTCACGTGACGCTGCGGGGGGCGGGCGCGCGCATGGGGCGGCTGCGCAGAGCCGGCGCGCATGCGCCCTGGCGGGGCGGGGGGTGCTCGATGCCCCCCCCCCCCTGCTCCCCCCGCCGCCATGTCGGTGTTTCACGACGAGGTGGAGATCGAGGATTTCGAGTACGACGAGGAGAGCGAGACCTACAGCTACCCGTGCCCCTGCGGCGACCGCTTCCTCATCACGCGGGTAACGCTGCGGCGGGCGGGCTGGGGGCCGGGGGCCGGGGCGGGAGCGGCCGCGGGCCCGGCGGGTCGGTGATGGCCGCCATGTTGCAGGAGGAGCTGGAGAACGGCGAGGACGTGGCCACCTGCCCCAGCTGCTCCCTCGTGCTGCGCGTCATTTACGACCAGGTGGGTGCCTCTGAGGCGTCCCTCGGCGTGTCGGGGCTCCTGGCAGCCCCGCGAGCCCGGCTCCTCGGCGTGTCGGGGCTCCTGGCAGCCCCGCGAGCCCGGCTCCTTCACGTGTCGGGGCTCCTGGCAGCCCCGCGAGCCCGGCTCCTCGGCGTGTCGGGGCTCCTCTCAGCCCTGCGATCCCGGCTCCTTCGTGTGTCGCGGCTCCTCTCAGCCCTGCGATCCAGCAGTGCTCATCCAGGAAGCGTTTTATGGCTCTCCTGTCTTGGGGGGTGGTTAATTTACTGTCGCTTATACTCTTGTCTAAAAAAGGATAATGGTTAGCTGGTGTATTTTGAGAGGGAAGAAATCCAAGAGCAGTCGATGACGGGACCTCTGTTTGCTGTCTTCAGGAGCAGTTCATGCGTGGTGAAGTCGTCGCAGAGCCTTTGGCGAGCAAGGAGTTGATTAAGTGCTGATGACCCTGTCCTGAACTGTTGCTGCTCTAGGACAAGAAGCTGTGGGGATGTCACCTTCRGAGAGGGCCGGGGCTCCCCTCCTGGGCCCTCTTGCTGCTGCCGAGGCGGGTGCAATAGCTGGCTGTCCTCCTCCTTTGGGAGAGGAATTGCTGACATCGAGGTGCAATCGGTTCTGTTCAAAGGAGTCGCATAGCTTAAGCAATTGTAAGACATAGAGCATGTTCCAGAAGACTCGGGGGCTGCAGTCAAATCAACTGCAGATGGGTACAGGGATGGAGTGTGTGGGGCTGCCCTGTGGGAGAATGCTAACATAGCAGAGGTGTCTGAGCCTGTAAAGAAGCGGTCTCTGTGGGGGCATATTCAGGTGTCAAGTGGCACGGAGAGCAGGAATGCTGGAAGCCAGAATGTCTCTAGGCGTGGGCTGGTACCCAGCTCCTGATGCAGTGTGGGCCCCGCTGGGATGCCAGCCCCGCTCCCTGCAGGGCAAGTGAAACCAAACACACAGTGAAGAAACCCRCACCCAGTACCGTTGGTGCGTTGGATTTACTCCTAGGGTGGAAAAACGGCTGCTTTTCTTACATGTTCTTAAATGGCTTGCTCGCTCTCTGTGYTCTGAGTGCTGTGCAGGTTAGCTCCTCCCCGGTACCCCCCAAACAGTCACAGCAACCTGCTTTCCCGTGGCAAAGAAGCTGCAGTTACAGCTGCMGCAGGTGCCACGTGGGATTCGCAGCAGATTTGCTTCTGAGCTGGAGTTGCTTTGGAGCAGCTTTGGTGGCTGTGGCCAAAGGACTGTCTGGAAAGTGTGGAAGAGAGTTTAAAAGTTTACTACAGAGCTCATCCGTTCTAGGCCAGCTGCTTGTATTCTAAACCACTGTACTGAAGAGTTTATTTAAAGTGATGCTCATTAATGTGTTTTACTAGGGCCTGATATTTTTGAAGTTAAATTTTGGGAAAAATACTTGTACAGCATTTATATGGTTATTTAACTCTGGGTACTACAGATAATTAATTGTTTTTGTTTTAACAATGTTATGTGAATGTTGGAGATGAGCATTATTTTTTCAAAAAATAAAAAATAAAACTAAAAATAAACCACACCTTTCTGCCAGAAGTTTGGAACTCAGTGTGCACAACCTGAAGTGTTCCTTGCCTTAACCAGGAGGTGGCACTCATGTGGCTTAGATCTCCGTGATGCTTGTTGGCTTAGCAATTACTTATTTTGGACTATTTAAATAAAAATATTCAAACCTCACCAGTGCTTTTAGTGGGTTGTGGGTTATTCTGTTTGTACTCCACTCACCCAGAGTTTCTGAAGGCCTCGTGTTGTTGCTGCTGCTGTGGTACTGATGCTTGAATTTMTTCAGGTTAATTATTTATCAATTCAGGACCATCTTTTAATACTAAAGGCTTAGTAATAATTTTTTTCTTACTAAGCAGGAATAGAGTCCAGTTTGCATAATGACATTTTAATGCATGTGAAAACTGTTGTTACGTGGCGTGTRTCCATGAGGCGTGTGGGAGGTTTGCCTCTGCTGGAGCCCTGCACAGCATCAGCAGAGCAGAGCGTTGAGGCTGTCCCGGGTACAAAAGGGCTTGCCCACATGTGGCCACAGGCAAAATTGCTCTCAGCTCGGCCTCTCTGCCGTGTTCTGATAGAATCAGGTCAGTGGTTGCTATCCCMAGAAAAGGAGATCAAACAAGGCTGGATGTTGGGGATCTTTGTTGCCTTTTAGGAATGAGAGAGGTTTCTCAAAAAAAAAAAAAAAATCTGATTTGTTGCTCTCCCCTTTCCTGCCCTGTTAAGAGGGAGACCTGGAGGGCTGTGGCGTCAGAATTTCCCTTTTATAAAAAGGCGACCTGCTGCCCTCTTCTGTTAGATCACAAGACGCTTTTGGCTCCRGTGTCCCCAGACTTTTAAAGGACTCCAATACTTTGTAATCCCACCATCCGAGTAGCCCATGCGACCTGTTCCTCCTGGGAAATCAGGTCACAACATTTCCCCACACCACCGTGGGTGGCTGCACGCTGTTTGGGCCCCTTCCCCTGCTCCCTTGGGGAAGCTCTGTCAGGCTGGAAAAYAGATGTCCGCTGTGGCCAGGGTCAACTTTTGGGGCCTTTGCTCGAAATCTATGAAAAAGGAACAGTTGTGAATGAAGCAACTAGCTCAAGACTCTTAAGTTTTTATGTCTGCTCTCTTCCTTCTAGTGGAGAAGGAGTTTATTTGCATGCAGGGAGTAATTAGTTCATGAACGTTTGTCCCGTGTGTGTTGTTAACTCAGTCTCTTTGGGGTTGCTCCCTGTTYCCAGTTCCAGTGTGATCGATGAGGTGCGGGGCTCAGGCTCCTCCTTTTTGTTGTCTCAGCCAGTCCAGGCCAGGCTTTCCCTTAGCTCTTGCTGAACCCACTCTCAAAATTTATGAGCTGGGGCCCCTTACAATTGGCTCAAAAATATAATATTAAAAAAGGAGTGTTTTTAATTTGCTCTCTGTTTTTAAAGTTTTAGAGATCATGTTTTCATTTTGTGATCAGAGTTTTCTTTCCTTTTTCTTTCTCTTTTTTTTCAAGGTGGTTCTTTTTTAGTTTTAAGCCGAAACTAACATTTTTCACCTTATTTGAACGCGAGAGCTGTTGCTTTAGGAAACAACCCAACTACCACAAGATGCAGGATAAAATCACGGCAGCTGCAACAGGCTGATGCATCAGCCGCTCCTGCTCTATGGAAGTGTCCTCACTTGGCTCTCTGTTGGAGTCCCTTTTGGGAAAGCCTGCAACAGCTTCTTGGTACCYTCCCTATCCCAAGTGCGAGGTTTTCCAGTTCACTCGGAGTCCAGCCACAACAAAGCTGCCATTGCCTTAGAACCAGCTCCTCATTCAGGTTTCCAAAGCCGTTCGGGATCGATGCCTCGGAAGAGCCAAGTCTTCCCCCAACCTACCCGCCCACCCTGGATGTCCTGGGGCAGAAGCCGGGGGATCCGGGCAGCTCCTGCCTGTGGCGGCCACGGTCTCCTCGGAGCAGCTGGGGAAGATGAAGGAGTTTCACACACTTGGGTGAGATGGTCCCAGGCTCCCCTTGCTGCCCTGTTCCTGCTCCCCTCCTCCCATCAGTTAGCTGCCTTTGTTTAGTTTGTAATTTGTTTACTTCCCATTTAATTATCCCATTGAAATTCTTTCTGCAAGCCACTGGGAAAGGACAGAGCTTCAGCCCGTGTCTTTGAAGCCGTTTGTTCCTTCTGCTGTCATTCCCGCAGTGGCTTTCCTGGACGTTGCTGGAGCTTTCCGGGTGGACAGGCTTCCGGCTGCAGCCAATCCTCAGCATCCAGGTGAGATTCCTTTGTACTGTGAATACGCTGTGTCTACGTCCCTAAAAAGACCATTGCACGGCCGGAGATGCACATATAAAATACGTCTCTTTTTGAAAAAGTGAGGCATTGGCCTCAAAAAAAAAAAAAAATCTGTTCCTGAAGAAACCTTTAGTGAGAGATGAGATGACCCAAATAATTCCTGCCCTTCCTTTCCCGAAGGGGTTAACTGCAGTTCCTGCTCTCCTCCTGCAGAGCTCTGGGAGGTAAAGCTGTTTCTTGGAAGAACACCCGGAGGGGAGGAAGCCGGTGACCTGGAAGGGGCTTGGCACGGGAATGCCCTTGGCTGTGGGGCTGGCTGCTGCACTCGCTTTCCGACGGGCTTTGCAGGCAGCCTGGGCCCTGCGGCCACGGGAGCCGCACGGGCCGCAGATCCCCACGGATCCGCTCCCGCTGCCGGCAGATCCCGCCTGCGAGGACCACGATCTCCCTGGGCACTAAAACCCGGCCAGGGACCCAGCGCGCGGAGGGACACACGGGCAGCAAGGGCGGGTGGCGCAGAGAAGCACCACCAAGGCAGGATTGAATAGGATCCCTGCAAATGCTTTGTCTTTTTTTGCCGCCCGCCCCACACCAGCGGCCGCCCACCCCACACCAGCGGCCGCCCACCCCACACCAGCGGCCGCCCACTGCACACCGGCGGCCGCCAGGCCACCCAAACGCAGCGTTTCCATCAAGGAAGGCCAAGTTCCCCGGATTCTTCTTGTTTTTGCAACCGTAGCAAGGCTGTCTTTGATTTCTTTCCATGCCAAATAAAGCATCTGCACATTTTGTCTGGCTCGCTTTKGTAGGCTGAGGCGTTTATACCCAGAGCACCTGCAAAAATAAGAGCTCTGGAGACGGAGATTCAGCTTCTGACAGGTTCATCACCCCAAGGAATAAGAAAACACGAGGAGGAGCGTTCCATCCAGAGCAGCAAACCACCTYGGGTGCCCCAGAATCATTTCCAGAGGTTTGCAAGGGTCTAAATAAACAACCCTGGAGGAGAAATGAAGAACGTGTACAGTAAATAACGCACTTGTGGGTTTGTGCCCATCATAACTATCTTCTATAGCTGTCTGAGGCCGCTGCTGGGTGCTCAGTGAGGAGGTGGGACGGGGCGCGTGTGGGTCGCCGTGGGTCGCCCTGGAGGCCCGTGGGGCTTGGTGAGGAATGGGAGGGACGTCAGGCCGTGGTGTGTAACACACTGACACCGAGCTCACCAGTGCCTCCTTCCAGACCATAGATCTACCAYGGGGCACTTTGTTTCGTTGCTCTAGAGCAAATCTGGCTCCAGTCTTAACCTCTTGCTGAACTAAAAAATATATGGAAGGGGAGGGTAGAGAGGGAAGGAATTATTTCAGCACAAAATTTATAAAAATCACTCTGGGCAAGGGTGCCTGTTGAAAGAAATCAGCACTTAGGAAAGGAATATTTCCACAGTGAAGAAGCAAATATAAAATACTGCAGTATTTCTCACCCTCGGTGCCCTTCTTGTTTGCAAATTCAGATTCGGCGTCCACCTGCGAGCAGCCTTGCTTCCTCCCGAGCTCGTGTGCTCCAGGGACCGTCACTCAGTGAGTGGCGACTCCGWCTCCTGATTTCTTTTGTGGTTTGCTCGTGGGTCCTTCCTGCCCATTGTTGCTGAGCTGGTCCTGCAGTGCCAGGAGTGCCCTCCGGAAGGGAGATGCCAGGTGAGAGCAGCCGCAGGGGGGTCTCCAGCCCCGCAAGGCCGGCCCGTTGGCCCTGATGCCCCATCCGAGCAGCCCTCCTGCCTGGCACAGCCAGTTGTGTGGCCTTCAGGAAGGCACAAAATGCCTTGCTGGGGTCTGCAAGAACGACCGGCTAGAGCCACAAAGGCTGCTGAGAAACATCCTCTTCATAAAAAAACACCTATCTGTTTCAATCCCACTTGAAACTGCTCAGTTTTAATATCCTCTTTTCTTATTGAGTTGACTGTCAAATTTTAAGCCTGCCAGGTGTATTTTATCAACATGAAATACTGTTTATTTTTGCTCCTTCTAGCACCATCCAGGCCTTTCCCGTGCAGGAACTTTCTGGTGTTTTCCCCAAGTTGAAGCCTGCTGCAATTCATCACTCGCCACTGCCAAGGAACGACATTTCCAAGGCTGCCCCTAGTTCACGATAGAGGTATTTTGCTATTGGAAATGCCCTCATTCTTTCACTGTAGCCAGTCCAGCAGCAAGCAACCAGAGAGACGAGCCTCCCAAATGGGGCAGGGAGGAAATCTTGAGTAAATATTTGTGCGTGTTTCTGAAATTTCTAGTCATTTCCTGGGAAAAGAGACGTCTTGGTCCCAGTGTGACAGACAAGCACCTGCACATTCTCAAAGCCTGARGAACTACCTCCTCCCTCCCGGCCACCTCTCCTGCTGTCTCTCCCTCACCCGCAGTCTCCATTACGTGTCTTTCCACTGCCAAAAATTATTATTATTAATAATAATAATAATAATGATAATGATAATGATGATAATGATAATGATAATGATGATGATAATAATAATAATAATAATAATAATAATAATAATAATAATAATAATAAAGGCGTTCCTAACACTGATCCAAGGCTGCTGTCACTGCTGGGTTGGGTTGCTCCACAACGGCCAGTGTTATAAAGCGGATGGGTGGATGTCCTTGGCACCCCAATGAAATCCAGCTTTTCCCAGCTTCCATTTTATTCTGTTTTTCATTTTATAAAACATTTTTCTTTTTCACAGGGTTATCTCTGCTTTGTGCTGGGTCTCTGTTAGTGCGTAACTGTTACAAACGCTGTGACCAGAGCTGGCTAAAAAGGTTCCATCCACCCAGTTTTCATCAAAATTAGCCCACCCGTCAAAAGCAGAGCACCCCACGGGAGA